GTGTTCACACTGTAGTCGGCGAGCGTGGAACAACACAATGCGACATAGCCTACCTGTAACGGCGTTTCTTAACTTGTTTAATCTTAAAACCCAGATTTGTTTTTTCTCCGAACTGTGTGGTTTGTGAAAGTATGCAATTTATGTTGTAGAACAAAACGCGAAAGTCTCAAATCTCAGCAAGGTCAACCGCAAAGATTATATTACTTGTAAAAAAAATAATAATAATAAAATAACAACAAAGGAACCGCTCAAGGGTTTGGAGAGGGCCAAAAAATGTACGTCATGATTTAAGAACTCATTCATTAAATCTAAACATTCATTTTTATTATTATTATTTTGCAACCAGTCATGTAAGAAGCTCTTCACCATAGCAAAATAGTTAGTAATGACTGACTGCATTTTACTGAGCTGTCAGAATGGAAGTGGTCTCATGCCTGTATTTTTGTCCCATTTTGCACACATATGCAATATTCTATGCCATTTTGTACTAGTATACTAGTGTGTGTAGTGTAATCACGCTGAAAAATGCAGGTGTAGTGCACCGTACCTTGATGACGTACAGTATTTGATGAATTGTGAACGCTGGACACTTCCTACACATTCTCAAGATTGTGTCTTAAAATGTAGGAAGCTGCCTACCTCACAGCATGTTTGGAAAAATGACACAGGCAATATGCCATCAAACCTTCACCCACAGCCTTGTTCATCCTTGCCCCGGCCTGCCAGGTGTCAGTCAAGGTGGTGAAATTCCTCCTGTGTTGAAATTTGCATGTAAGGCGATCATTTTAAAAATACATACTAAGCCAGATATACCCTCAGGTGTGATTAACATTATTTGCTTGCACTGTCCATGTGAGTTTGAGGAATGAGACAGACGCATCTGTGGATCCCTCTTAAATCATTGATTCTGACAGTTCAATCACTAACAAGAGCTCATTCACCTGTCAGACCAGCAGCACAGGAACAAATACATGTTAATGCAGTTTGATTTTGAGATGACAATAAGGATGGAAAATTTAAAAAAGAATTGAAATCATAATTGTTTCAGATAAGAAAAGACATTTGATAGGAATAGAAAGGACGTGTTACAATAGGCTGCAGCTGGACAAGATCTGTAGATGGAGAAAATTAGGAAGGATGCTTGGAGAATGATGTGAATAATAAGAGAGAGAAAGAGGGGATGTAAGTGAGTCAGCTATCAGATGCTCTCAAGCACATTGTTATGCATTTGTATTTAGTGAATGGGGACACTGATGTCTGGATCTATTCCACTGATTTAATGATGATTCTCCCTCATCAAAGCGAGTGGCTCTCCATCTTTCCCCAATACCGATCCACTCCGTACTTCTTGTTAGTATGTGAGTGAGTGATTAAGATAGAGAGAAATACCACTTTGCTTTAGTGGTCCGAAATCCCTGCCTTAGTATTAATTATATACTTTTATAGCATTTATAAATATTGTTAATTAACTTTTAATTTTTATTTACAGTTTTCATTTTAGGTTTAAGTCATTTAGTATTTTATTTCAGCTTTAATTACTGCAAACATTTGAATAGTTTCAGTAACAATATCAACACTGCCTGAAACTGAATTATAACACTTAAAAAGGTACTGTTATTTTTCTACCTACCGGTATTTAAAAAAAGTACTTATGTAGTAGCCTACTTATGATAAACATTTTTTTTAAATAAATAAATAAGCCGTCTTATTTTACGTGGAACTGCTGCCATGTTAAAATCGCAAGACTAACTGAATACTGGTTTAAAAGGATAGTTCACTCAAAAATGAAAATTCTGTCATCATTTACTCACCCTCATGTCGTTCCAAACCTGTATAAATTTATTTCTTATGTTGCACACAAAATAGGATATTTTGAAGAATTTTGAAGGACCAAACAGTTGTTGGTCCCCATTGACTTCAATAGCAGGGAAAGAATTACTATGGAAGTCAATGGGGACCATCAACTGTTTGATTACCAGCATTCTTCAAAACATATCCTGTTATGTTCAACATAAGAAAGAAACTCATACAGGTTTGAAACAACATGAGGGTGAGTAAATGATGACACAATTTTAATTTTTAGGTGAACTATCCCTTTAATCTCATTACCAGCCATGTTATTGGGCACTCATAAGAGTGAATGTTGAAACTGTATGTTGCTGTAACTGAAATGTCAGTCTAAAAGACCTGGTCGCCGTGATTTTGCCAAGTAAGACATGTTCCTGGATCAACATCTTTTGTTGATCCCGGATCAACATTACTGTCCAAAAATACAGACTTAACCCAATCCCCACCCCTAAACCTAAACTTACCCATAATTTATTCCTAAAATCAGAGGGAAATTATAGCTGATTAACAAGGGTGCAGAAGCACCTAATCCTGATTGTAAGCCTAAAACTGACATTTCCTGAAAAGTTATCTCTCAATTCTGATTGGTTGATTGGAAACATGTTGTATTGATCAAATCACGCTCACCAGAAGGGCACCTTTAAAGCTGAGGTGTGTCATTTCTGTGCCACTGGGGCCTTCAGACAAGAAGCAGCAAGCCATTTTAAGTGATAAAAAATATGTGCAGGTGTTATATACTCTGAAACTGAGGGCAGCTGTACGATCTGCCTGGACGTGCCGACAGTCAGTGCTGTCCTGCTGTTATATCAGCACAGGTGTCATAAAACATGGTGCCAGGTATGACAGAGAGTGAGAGAAAAGTTCATTACTGCTTAAACATTTGCATTTTCGGACAAGGTCATATTCTTGTAAAAAAAATCCAGTCCTTCTAGACAGAGAACATCAAGATTAAAACAGCAAGATGATAATTAAATGTGCTTCCCACACTCTATGTTCTCACCAGCTTTCATACTCTTTCCACTGACTCATATTCTCATACCCACAATCCCTTTCTGTCATTGGAGGGAGTTTTGCGGCTTGATTTCATGGGGATTTCTCCTAGAAACTGCTAATTGCACATCTGTGTGTGTGCGTGCATATTATATGTTACATGTTCACTCAATTTGCTCTTTAATGATGCAGTGAACGAGACCTCCTCAGTTTGTCGTTATCCTCGGCCCTCCATTACAGCCCCTGCTGTGTTCGGGTTCAGAGCAGAATGTTATCAAACCAGCCTTGAAGATTAGCAAAATTATCTCGCTTTGCTAATTCAAGTGAGACATTTTTTTAATTAGCCGCTTTTGTGATGAGTTTATTCTGTTTTAATTCGATTCTGTGACTGATGAGAAGAGATTTCAGTGACACCAGAACCAGCAGGCGAAATGTGGGTGTGTTATGGTTGTCAGCATTTGGGAGGGAATTTCTCATGCATTAAAGGAGAGATAGCAGAAAAGCCTTGACATTACTCACATAGCTGAGCCCTCTCTGTTTATCAGCACTACTTGTGCTTTAGTTCACCGCCGAGCGCTCGTGATGCCGTCTGGATCTAGAGGATGTATGTGTGTGTGTTCCTTCCATATTTCTTCCTGAAGAACAAGCACATTATAGGAAGATTTGTTTTAGGATATCTCTACTTCCATTAAAGATTATGTATAGGATGTGTGATTATTTTTATGCAATAGGAGTGTGAATGAATGAATCTGTGAGTGATTTTCTATATCCCCTTGTTTAGTTTGCAGACCTTGGTAGTGCCTGGTTAGCCTCTGTTTCCTCCTCACTCATTGAGAGTAATGGTAAACCTCTGAACAGTGCCTCTGAATATTTTTCCTAAAACAAGGGACAGGATATAAGTAGCAATTAGTCAACATTCTTTCTTCCAGTGGGTTTACAATGCGCATTGCAAAAACAATCCCTCTGGAGTAACCTGTTGTTAAGTGTTTTACTTTAGAGCCTGATAAGGATGTCTCTTCAGTCTCAGGTCAACTAAGCATTGGTTTTAACTAGGGCTGTAGGGCTGGTGGTTAGTTGTGAAAAAATAACGCGATTAAAATATTTTAACACAGTTAACGCACTGGCCCCGCCCCCAGAACTGTACGCCATCTTACATTTCATACAGCTGACTGTTGACAAATATGATGCAGGACAACTACTCCTTAAATGCAGTTATGCCCTAAAATTCAAGATATTGGGGCAAAAATGCTCCTGTATGAGTTTTTGTCTCAGATTTATATCATATTATAAGCGATATTACACGAGCAGCGAGAGCAATCGCACGAGTGCTGTTTTTGTCTCTAATATAACGAGTTTAAATGTGATTTTATACAACAGTTCAGTTGAAGTTAATCTTGTGGTATATTTTAAACACAATATTGTCTGTTTTTGCTAATTGCTAGTTTTGCCAACAAAAATATTACCTATAAAGCTACAGAAGAATTGTTGTGCGTCTCCGAGCAACACAGCGGTGTTTAATAGTTTCTCAATGAATCTGCGTTTTGAACGAATGGTGTGAATCAATGATTCAAACGCCCATTCATAAAGTAGCCTAAGCCCTTTACGTCATTCCTGAATGAATTAGCCGTTTGAACGAATCGAAGGAAAGACTCATAAAGACATTTACCGCCACCTGCTGGCAGTTTTAGTTTCTTATTTAGAATATTATTTCATTAAAAAAAATAAAGAAAAATAAAAACTGTAAAGTATGGAAGCCCGTTTCCGCCACTGAATAAAAAATAAAAAAGGTTTCCTATAGTGCTTTGCTAGAGTGTCGCAATTCTGAGAGGGGCCGTAATATAAAGATCTAAAAATGCATTTAATAACCCCTTTAATACGCACTGTATTAACAAGTTATTCAGACATATGTAAAACAACATAGAAAACATACATTTGGGCTTAATAGGGTCACTACCAACCTGTACTGTTATTTTGTCAATTAAACACAAAAGTAGAAATTGAGGAATCTTAATGTTATTTATATTCTTCACAATTACAGTAAGCATATTGACTATTTCAGCACAAGTGGAGCCAGGTATCATGCAAGCACAGAAATGTTAAGACTGATGAGTAGGATGAGAGAAAACGTCTCGTTGGAAAAACATAGTTTATACATTTAAAAATAGTCAAAACTATGTACTTTTTTTTTTTTAGTATTCATTACATATAGATGCTTGTGCATTTTTCCTTCTTATTCTGATGGTTGTGCTTTTGCCATGTTATAAGACTGAAAACAAACAGATCACAGATAACAAGATCTCAATTTGACAGGATGCTGGCCTCCTTTGCACATGAGGATAGATATGAGGATGGTATGGAACAAATTATTTCCACCCTCTGAAAGCATATCACTGTGATTTTATATCATCATGCACAGAGATTTATAATGGAGATTATTTACTGTACCTTGAGTAATGTGTCTAATAGACAAGGTGATCCTGAGGGGTGTATAAAATGATGGGATGTAAACATTTTCCATCTGGATACTTAGAGTAGGCTCATGGAGCCTGAGCCTACAACACACAATAGGGTTGTTAGCAATCAAATGTAATCAGTATCAACAAAATCCATCTTTGAATTGCATGGGTGGCACAGAAGCTGCATCAGAAGTGGTATTTATGCACTTAGTCTGTTAAAGGAGTAGTTCACTTTCAGAATGAAAATTCTGTCACCATTTGCTCACCCCCCACTTGTTCCAAACCTGTATGAGTTTCTTTCTTCTGTTGAACACAAAAGAAGATATTTTGAAAAATGTTGGGATCTGAACAGTTGATGAGAACCATTGACTTCCATAGTATTTTTTTTTCCTACTATGGAAGTCAATGGTTCTCATCAACTGTTCAGATCCCAACATTTTTCAAAATATCTTCTTTTGTGTTCAACAGAAGAAAGAAACTCATACAGGTTTGGAACAAGTGGGGGGTGAGCAAATGGTGACAGAATTTTCATTCTGAAAGTGAACTACTCCTTTAAATGCAGCTCATTGGTAGCATAATTGCATGTACAATACAGTAAAATTACAATTGCAATTGCATCAATAATGTTATGAGGTTAAAGTTTTAATTATAGAAATTTTAATGTAGAAATATGACATGTCAGTAGCTGTCCAAAATTACATTGTACGCTCTTAAATTATGCACTGTGTGTCTAGTGTATGGCATTTAGACAACTTGCTTGTCATCAGTTACATAATTAAAGGTGCAATGACTGAGTACATGAAGTGTCCAAAATTCTGTGTTGGATTTTTTAAGTGTGAACACAATATTTATATTACAAAATGGCATAGTGCATAAGCATATGAATTGGGATGCACCTACAGAATCATTCATTCATTCAATACACATTAAGCTGCCTATTGCGTCATCAGTGCTTTTCTTGGCCGGGTGCTTTAAAGGTAGCAGGGCTTCATATAGTGAATAATGGTTAAATCTGTCAGCAATAAGCAATATGCAAAAAAGAAGATATTTTGAAAAATGTTGGGATCTGAACAGTTGATGAGAACCATTGACTTCCATGGTATTTTTTTTTCCTACTATGGAAGTCGATGGTGCTCATCAACTGTTCAGATCCCAACATTTTTCAAAATATCTTCTTCACTGCAAAAAATGCTTTTCTAGCTTAGATCTTTTGTCTTGTTTCCAGCCAAAATATCTTAAATCAAGAAGGATTATCTAGACAAGTAAAAATTATTGTCTTGTTTTCAGAAAAAAACAAGTCGAATTCAAGTGAGCTTTTGCTTGAAACAAGCAAAATAATTTGCCAATGGGGTAAGAAAAATAATCTTGTTTTCTGTTTGAAACAAGATTATTTTTCTTACCCCATTGGCAGATTATTTTGCTTGTTTCAAGCAAAAACTCACTTAATTTTGACTTTTTTTTTTCTGAAAACAAGACAATAATTTTTACTTGTCTAGAAAATCCTTCGTGATTTAAGAATTTTTAGATATTTTGGCTGGAAACAAGACAGAAGATTTAAGCTAGAAAAGCATTTTTTGCAGTGTTTTGTGTTCAACAGAAGAAAGAATCTCATACAGGTTTGGAACAAGTGGGGGGTGAGCAAATGGTGACAGAATTTTCATTCTGAAAGTGAACTACTCCTTTAAATGCAGCTCATTGGTAGCATAATTGCATGTACAATACAGTAAAATTACAATTGCAATTGCATCAATAATGTTATGAGGTTAAAGTTTTAATTATAGAAATTTTAATGTAGAAATATGACATGTCAGTAGCTGTTCCAAATTACATTGTACGCTCTTAAATTATGTACTGTGTGTCTAGTGTATGGCATTTAGACAACTTGCTTGTCATCAATTACATAATTAAAGGTGCAATGACTGAGTACATGAAGTGTCCAAAATTCTGTGTTGGAATTTTTAAGTGTGAACACAATATTTATATTACAAAATGGCATAGTGCATAAGCATATGAATTGGGATGCACCTACAGAATCATTCATTCATTCAATACACATTAAGCTGCCTATTGCGTCATCAGTGCTTTTCTTGGCCGGGTGCTTTAAAGGTAGCAGGGCTTCATATAGTGAATAATGGTTAAATCTGTCAGCAATAAGCAATATGCAAAACTAAGGGTTCAGCATAAGGTTCAGCAAGACTTGAAAGTTTATTACAATGCAGGGTCTGGCCCATAATTGTAAAAAAAAAAAAATATTCCCCGAACATAAGCATGTTTAAAGACAAATGACCATAAAGTGAAATATAACTTATGCTCACCCTTAATCTTGATAGAGATAGATATAGCACAATGGAAGTAAGGGTGGGGATTGCAGAGCCTTTGACCTCAGAAACTTGTTTTGAGACTTGATTGGCCTTTTCATGAAAAAAGAACAAATAAGAACAAATACAAATAATATTCAGACAAAAAGTTACTTTTTTGTTTAAAAAAATTACCTGCAGTCTGGGGCTCAGGGGATTTCATCCTCTCATCCTCTTTAAGTTGTTGACTGATGAATAGAAAGTGATAGACAGTATGATTTTTTTGTAAACAAACTTCATATTTAAAAAAAATAAACAATGTAATTTGATGTTAGATTAGATCAAATGCCAACCATGGATCTCAAAATCACATTTTTCCCCCAGTGTAATGTTAGTTTTTTAGCATAGATAAATATTTATTTTAATTTCTTAAGCATACAAAATTGATCAATTAATAAAAGAATATGAAAAGTGTGCTCACCAGTCTAGCCATAAATACTCTCTGTTGCCTTGTGAATGGTTGTGACCTATAATAATATGGGAAAAACAATTACATCTTTACTTTAAACATGTAAGGGACAATATTTTTAATATCACTCTTGAGTGTCAGTGTAACAAAAGACAAATGCAAAAATCTTTATGGTCAGATGAAATCTTTATGGCCAGATGGTAGTTTTTAAAAATGTGAACTATAATTATGAAGACTTGCTTCTTAATTAGCACAGACAGCCAGTTTGTGGGAAGTGTTTTCCTTGCAGAACTCTACAAATGTAATCCCTCTTACCTATGATTGGACTAAAAACAGATTGATATGTGATGCCAAGAGCTTTGAGATTCAGTGCTTGGATCAAGAGTGACACATTCTGCACTCGCAGTGTCTCTGAAGAATGTCTGCATATCTGCTAAATGCGTATTTTCAGTTCCATGGTCAATGCGAATTCTTTGTGGAAATCCGTTATTCTCAGCAACAGCTTGTAGGAAATAACCTGCAATTACTCGTGGGTCATTGTTCGTTTTGTATGCTTCAAGCCAGATCATTTTTCTGGAGAAACCATCAATGCATCCGTTTATGCATATTCCGTAAGGTTTTAACTTATCATATCCGTCAATATGCCAAACATAGTTTGGCCCGCGACTGTTATACATTCGTCGCCGTAGACGACCGCGAGCACGCAGATCAACTCCTTGTCCATCTAACAGTCGCATCAACTGACGGACAGTTTCTCTGTCTGTAATAATGCCGGACAGCCAACATTTCTGGTGCATCCAGCGATAGCCATGTTGTCGTCCCGATGTCTGTAGCTGCTGGTGTATAAAACGTGCCACTTCAGCCTCATCTGTTTTATTGCGTCTCCGCCACAACTGATTCCTGCATAACGTTCTCTCAAGAGTCCGGAAACTAAGCTTTAGCCTATGTTGTGTGATTCCTCCAATAAAATTAAGATTTCTCTATTAGTGAAACCGCGCCGAAAATAATCCTCTATAATATTTTCCATTTTTAGGCTATAGAATATGCAATCCTACCGTCTTTGACACTTCGGTGAAGGTCAATCTCAGTAACAGGAAACTAGTTTATATCTCCCAATTCTGACCGTTTTTCCTCAGAATTGCGACTTTATTTCTCAGAATTGCGAGATAAAAAGTCGCAATTCTGACATTATAACTCGCAATTGCGACTTTTTATCTCACAATTCTGACTTTATTTCTCAGAATTGCGAGTTTATATCTCGCAATTCTGACTTTATAACTCGCAATTTCGAGTTTGTATCACGCAATTGTGAAAAAAAATAATTAAAAAAATAATGTCATAATTTAGACTCAAACCGGAATGACTTACTTGCTTTTGTGGAACATAAAAGAAGCTATTTTGAAGACTGTTGGTAACAAAGCTGTTTTGGTTACAAATTACTTCCATTGCATGAACGAGAAAAAAAAACTGAGATGTTTCTCAAATGATCTTCTTTTATGTTTCATAGTTTATGTTAGGCCATTGTAGCCTGAATGTTTATGTGTAATACATTTTACGTTGAATCAAATTAAATATTTCTTTCTAAAGCTATATTTGTAATGTCTACTTTCTCATTTAACACAAAAATAGCATTAAATAATCTCTTGGGGGTATTTTCACAGCCAAATGTAATTTGTGATAAATTAGATTAATTAATCGACACATCATGTAATTAATTAGATTAAAAATGTTAATCGACTGACAGCCCTAGTATTAACATCAATCTCACTGTTTGCACATTGTATTAACATGCGTCTCAAATGTGTTTCCAGGGACCATATACATAACTCACAACATCAGCTGGGGTTATGTATGTAAGGGTCAAAGGTTAAGGTATGGATGGTTAGCCCCTGCTGGTAAATGCTACACTATCTGTTTATAAAAAGCATCTTTCTCGGGCTGATAAACTGACTTTTTTTTTGCTCAGATATGTTTAAAATCCAAACAATAAAGAAATGCAAATCAGATCTAAATTTCATATTTGCATTAGATGATGTTTAGACAGACTGCAGCTATCTGACACAAGTAAGAAAAACTGGTCTAAGATCTTAAATGTCAGTTTTGCAAGTACCTTTATTGCAATATGTAACAATAAAGTGTTATCAATCTATTTGTCCCTCTATCCACTATTTTTCTGTCTGTCTGTCTCTGCATGGAAAGTGCCTTTAAGATCTAAATTCCTGTAAGTGAATTGTAAGAGTAAGACAGATAATGTCTGTCAGTCTATTTATTTATTTATGATGCTCTTATGTTAAAGATATCTGAATAACTTTGTTCACGTCAGGTAAAGTGTGATCCTTGTCACTCGGGCTGTGTTCCACCCCAGGGTTCTGTAATAGTAATGCCATAAAGAGTGCTTTTAAGATCTGAATTCCTGTAAGTGCTGTTATAAACAGCTGATGACAGGTTTTGCCAGTTCTTTGCACATTTTCATGTACTGTACACACTTGCAAATGACCTGAAAGTATATCTAATCATTCCTTCCTTTTTCTTGAATGCTTGTGCTGTTATGTTAGGTCTATAGAAAATATTCTGGGTATTTTAAGTTGTTGTAAAAAGCGTGTGACAGGTTTGTTTGTCCTCGGGCTACAAGTTCCCTTTGGCATGCTTTCACGATGTACACCAGACAAACACACACAGGTGTTGTGTATAGGAAACTCTGGTTCTTTTGAACACACTGAATGTGTGTGAACATGTCTGTTTCTATGACTAGCACTCATGTAATCGTGCCTTTTAGCAATGTATTTTCATATTGGCACACACAAAATGCAGCTTGTTCTATACAATACTGTGTAATTTTGTCTCATCAAAGGTTGCTTAAGTGTAAGCAAACATGCCATTTAAAATGCAGTGCCAAAATTGACTCATCAGTGTGTTGTGGTTCCCCATATTTACTGGCAATGGTTCAAATAAATTGAAAAAGAAAATTGTTTTAAACTAGAAAGAAGGAGAGTTTTATTTGTACTTGAAATGTGAAAAGCTGCCAACATTGTCTACTGCTTTTGGTATGCGGTAAAATGGTGTCGGTTAAATTGGTGATGGATAAATATGTGTCTGTGGCAGCAGGAGACAGAGTGCTGCTATCGCAGTGGTCGATTTGAGATGTGAGGCCGCTGTTTTCATTAAAGGTCCTCTTCAGCTACATTTATAGTGAAACTGTTTGATCTCTCTGGGTCCTCTACCAGCAAAAAGCCAACTGAATGCAAAAGCAGCACGACTGAGTGATTTCAAATTCCACTCAATCTAGAGGTGAGCCTCCTTTTTCCATTAGATTGCTCATGCATTTTTGTGATATTGTGAATTTTTGGAATGATGATAAAGTCTGAAAAACCTGTAAATAATAATAATAATGAGGCCCTAGGAAAATATTAATTCATCCAAAACAATTCTGTTTTGATTACTAATTGTTTTCATTTAAGAAAATAAGTGTTTGTATTCACTGTTATTTATAATTTATATAGTAGCTATTTATTAATTTTTTCATTATTCATTATTAATTTATTCTTTATATTTACAGTTTTCATTTTAACTCTACTAAGCTTTAGTGATTTTGTTTTGTGCTCGTCATTTTTATTACTTTTTGTATTTTTAAATATTTCTATTTAATTTTAATTTTAATTTTAGTAATTTAGCCTACCTCAATATAACTTAGCCAGGGAAACATTTCTCTCTTTTTTCTTTTCTTTTCTTTTCTTTCTTTCTTTCTTTCTTTCTTTCTTTCTTTCTTTCTTTCTTTCGATACCCAGTTTAAAATGTTATTGATTTTTACAATGTATTGTACAGTGTTTTGTATTGTATTTTATTGTATTTACTATTGAAACAGAAATTAGCGGAGAAAGAGGAAGACTGTAGACTTTGAGTACAACAGCATATACTTTCTTTCTTTCTTTCGATTAACAAAATCGATTGTAATAGTTTTAGTTAACAAATTACCACTGTGGATTTGGCCATAGACTCCTGCAGTTGAATTTGTGTAATTTAAGCCTGGCTCACACTACAGGATTAAGAATGAATTACTTTAAAATTATACAAATGGTATAAAAGCAATATAACACTCAAAGTTGTGCTGTAACCTACAATTTTAGAAAAGTAGAATATAAAGAAAATAGTCGAAACAAAATGACATTTCAATGTGGATTAGGCTACAAGCACGAAAGACAAACAAGCGTGCAGATGCGTTATCCACTTATCACCAAACATATTATTATGTTGGTAAAGCTTGAGCTTGAATGAATGCTGTTATTATGAAACACAGGTGTACTTTTATCTCAACACACTTGAGATCAATATGGCGGCTGTTGAAGACTCTAGAAGATCACTCAGTCAGTATTAAAAGCCCTTCAATGAAACCATTAGAAGAGAGAATCAGCACTCACTTAGCGGCCAGGGGAAACAATGGAGGAGGGAGGGAGGTATGGCATGGAGCAAATGACCACAGAGAGTTTACACAAACACATGATGAACAAAGAGGTGAGCAGTTTATATGCAATGAGAATCCAGCACTATTAGTCACTGTTGCAACCGTTTAACATACTGTAATAGATCTAAAGTGAAGCATATGTGTAATTAGACGGAGGGAGAATACAAATACTGTACTGTAGCTGATTTAGAGGAAATGAGAGAAGGAGAGCAGATGGAGAGAGAAGGTAAAGCGAGATGAAAAAGCACTTAGATACAGCAGAATGTTTTATGGAGAGTATTTACGCACTCCTTTAGTCTGAGATGGCAAAGACAAATATAAAGAAAAGACCATTTCTGCAGAAGCATATACTGTTCATCAAAATCACATTCTCGCAGTAAGAAATCTGTTGCTAATGTGCTTCAGTTTATTGTTAAAGACCAGCTAGCAGGGTAGAGAAAGATTAATGGAAAAAGAGAAGTAGAAAACATGCAATGTGTGTGTTCTGTTGAATGATGTCCATCACTAGCCGGGGAATGTGCGTCCTGGTACAGTGTCTGCTTTCCAACTTTATTTTAGCTTCAAATTCAGATAAACGGAGAGGAGTTTCAGAAAATGTGTGAGAGATTGTTCAATAACTGGAGTGGTTAAAAAGCAAGTGCACTGGTCTGTGCAAATGATAATAAATGACAGACATTATGTAGATAGATTATTGCAAACAGAGTGATAGAAAAAAAGGTGGCGGCAAAAAGAAAATTGTCTAAGAAGGTACAAAAAACAGACAAAGACAAAAATAAGCTATTTTTTTGCCTCACTGCTAATTTTTGGCTTGTTTGAAACACGAACTGAATACAATTTTGTTGCAATATTATATTTTGTTCAATTATATATATATTTTTTAAATGACAGAAAATTGATTTATTTATTGCA